CGCCACCTCGCCCTCCCCACGACGCGCCTCCTGCCACGACAGCGAGAACAGCCTCTACGGGGCGACAATTTAACGCTCACGATTGTGCTGCTTCCTGGCTCTCTAATCAGTCATTATTTTATAAATAAAAGTTTCATAATAGAGTCACTTTGTCAAATAAAAGTTTCATAACAGAGTCACTTTGTCAAATCAGTTTTTTTTATCATTTGCTTTGCAAATAAACTTTACCAGATGAGTATGTATACCAAAAATAAAAGTTTTTCTTCCTAACTAATAATGTATTTAAACCTCTTGCAGAAACTTATTCGGGTACTAATCTTAATACTGTTTATCCTGAGGTTACCAAAAACGGTCCCTAAGAAATAATGTAGTTATGGTAATTAGGCAATCTCCGGGTAACGACCGCATTGTTGAAAGTAACGGAAACATCCGCGCCGAAATACCCTAATTTTAAGTATGCGAAAGTGAGCCTGTCTATGAAAGCTATTCTCTTACCTGCTACTTCTGAACGTGCTTCTTCAATCTCTCTTTTTGTGAAATCTAATCTAAATAGTCAACGTATGCAACACCTCGTCTCCCGAGACTATCTGACTTCGCCACACAATGGGAGAGGACAGGGATGACCAAATCAGCCAAGTGCTTACGAGGAGTGTATTACCTGCGACCTCAAAACTGTACAACGCTTATGTAAAATGCTTCAGAAAGTTCAGGAAGTCTAACCAAATTTTCGCCACTGGTAGCTGCCCCCCTCTAATAACAAAGTAATGACGAAAATTTCCTTAAAGTAACATGGTTCCTGGATTTTCAATGATTGTCAATTATTCATATTTTGAATAACGCTTATAAAATAATTAAATGTAATATATTTTTTTGCGACACAAAAATACACATACACGCATATACACACAAAAAAATCAGTAAAAATTCGTGTTTACTTCAGTCATACCAAAATCTACTCGTTTTCTCAGTTAGGCTGCGTCTATCAATACAGAAAATGAGAATACTGGAGGCTAAGGCAAGCTATGATATTTCTTATTCTTGAATTTGAAAGTCATTTTCCGAATACTTCATGTCTATTAATCTCTCTCTTATTACATCCTAGAATTTAATTAGAATTATTTTAATAAATAGTTTTTTTGCTACTATTCAAGCCGAATCAACTGGTGCTATATAGAGGAGCTATTTCATTTCCATGAGAAAATCCTTTTCCTATCCTTTGTACGTCGGAACACGTCCTACTTTCCCGTTAAACATTGAGATTTGACTGAAATAGAAAACAAATGGTGAAAACACAGCCCCGTCTCACCGGACAAGCACTGACCACGGTTGAGCAGCTGGGCCAGTGGCGTCGAGAGGGCAGGGCAATACGCGTGTCATTTACGACTGGAAGTACCTCAAAGAAAGCCCTCGGCGAGAGAAAGAAGACGAATGTACATCTCTTTCTTCCGGACGAATCGTGGCCAGCTTGGGTTGGGACTGGGCTGGCAATCGCCTTACTCGCACAGGAGTCCCAGGTTGGATCTGCGCACTCACTTAAGCAAGTAGGAACTCCAACAGAAGCAAGTAGGACTTGAACTGAAGCGAGGGAATATAAACTTGGCCAGGCTCAATAAGCACCATGGATATTATGTAAATGAGCGACGGCTCTTCGGCAATAATTTTTTAATGAATGCAAGCGATTAATCAGCCTTTCTTTACAAAGGCATCCTGAGTGGAACATTTTTCAATATACAGTGTGGTCCTATTTTTCATATTGCATCTGGTAATTGCTGTCAAAATTTTATTTCCTGTGTGTGGGTTATAATATGTAATGTGCGCTCGTGTATGTATGTGATTGTGTAAATGAGTGAGTGAGTGAGTGAGTGAGTGAGTGAGTGAGTGAGTGAGTGAGTGAGTGAATGAGTGAGTGAGTGTGTGAGGGAGGGAGTGTGTGTATGTGTATGCTTGTGTATGTCTGTATGTCTGTATGTGTGTGTGTGTGTGTGTGTGTGTGTGTGTGTGTGTGTGTGTGTGTGTGTGTATGTGTGTGTGTATGTGTGTGTGTATGTGTGTGTGTATGTGTGTGTGTATGTGTGTGTGTATGTGTGTGTATGTGTGTGTGTGTGTGTGTGTGTGTGTGTGTGTGTGTGTGTGTGTGTGTGTGTGTGTGTGTGTGTGTGTGTGTGTGTGTGTGATACATATATCACATAATGTATATGCATATATATATATATATATATATATATATATATATATATATATATATATATATATATATACACACATACACATATACACCTGTGTGTGTAGACAGAGACACAGATAAACACACACACACACACACACACACACACACACACACATATATATATATATATATATATATATATATATATATATATATATATATATATACACACAAGCACAAGCATATATATATCTATTTATATGTATATATGAATATATATATATATATATATATATATATATATATATATATATATATATATATATATATATATATATACATATATATAAATACATATATATATATATATATATATATATATATATATATATATATATA